GGACGAGTCGCAGCGCTACTGTAGCGGTTAGGCGTCAGGTCAAATGGAGAGTGTACCATACTACGTCTCATATCAGACAGCACGCGCTGCGACTCGTCCTTTGCCGCACCTGCGTCTCTTCCTTTTCCGCACGACGGGCCTCTTGGGGGTCACCCGGTTCTCCCGATTGCTAAGCAGTCGAAATAAGTGTTCATCTAATTATTTGAGGAACGCTGTGTATCTGTAGTTTGTTAGCTAGATTTCCACGGGTTTTAGCACGACAGCTTCAGGATTCAAGTGTCAACCCATAAAGTGTATTTGCATCTTTTTTTTATAGTTTTTTTTCGAGTGATCAGTACAACCTAGTAATTCCGTTACTGGTAATGGATATACCGTTTTCCAAATGCGATAATGCATTGGGTGGTTTTGGACTATGCGCACAATAAAGCCATACAAACGAGTCTGAGATGTGACACGCATGCGCGCCACGAAGTTGTCATTGTGTTAAGGTTGGGTGTCAGGATTCCTTTGAAATATGTAATTATCCAGGTGAACAGCGAACAACTGTTTCATTAAAGTTAGTGTATGCTTCATAGTCCACACCGGAGTGAAAATTTGAAAATACTGATTTACATGTAACTTGAACTAATTTGTTTCATGTAACTTGAATTAATTTGTTTCTGCAATAATTAATGACTGGCATAAGTAATTCAAGTTCGCGTATTGCAGAATATGGCTCTGAAGAAGCAAGGTTTTCCTGTTTTGAATCGCGAACCTTTCGTGGAGGCTTTGATTAAGTACTCAGTGAAGAACTTCGACGGCTGGATACCACCGCACGCTTTTAAGAAATATGTAGGTTGACTTTCGGAATTCTTGTTTATCACTGAGTATATTACCAGATAATTTCTTTGTGGAAGTGCGATATGCTAATCTAGTTTGAAGAGCATTGTGCCAGTTTTGAGAGCTTTTTTGTGATAAGGGAAAGTTTATCTTGTATGAATCCCTTTAGCTCCGAAAGTTCAGGACTGGGCCCCGTCTTCTTATAATTAGGCTGGCCGGAAAGGCTTTTGTCCCGACTCTTTTGTGATTATGTAAAAGCGACGCGACTTTGTCAGCGGTACTCATCAGTACCGCTGAGCTGACGTCAGTGCTCACATGATTTGTCGATAATCTTCTCCATGAGGGCAGGAGCTATGCTTGAGCTACTCGTCGAGTGTCTTTGGCCTTCTAACCGATTCTTTGTTTTGATTTTTTTTCTCGCTTAGAAATTACTGGAAGAGGCTCAAAAGTAAGTAATAGACCGGAGCGAGGCTAGGGTTTTAGGGCACAAGGGGTTTCAACCCCGATCGCAGTCGTGAACCGGGTGTGGCAATGAATTTCATCCTGATCTAACACGGTGAAAGACCTAACTTAACCTCAAAATCTAGGCTGGCCGGTTCCTTTAGGCATATACAGTAGCGGTCAAAAGTCTTCGCCGAAATTGTTTTTCGACTGTAACTTTTTTTCCGCTGAATCAAATCAATTCAAATTTTAATATGTTTTAGAGATAGTCCTACTTCACTTAAACGGCATATTTGTTTCGGATTGAGAAAGAATTAAGAATGGAAAAAATCATTTCACTAGAAATTCTCGCGTATGAGCAAATTCCAAGTAGGTTTCAAATTACTCTAGCAAGCTTACAATTCAACAAAACAATCTTACGCATGATGAATAACACTGGGCAGGTCCAATACTTTGTTAATGATCTTCTGGGTTCGCTGAAATACTAACAAGGCCTAAGTAAGGAATCAGTCATTGAATGCACTGTCTACTAGGGCAGCTTCCTCCACTTCTCTTGAAATTTGACGAGTTTCTCGCCCATATTCCCGGCTCTTATTTCCCACCAAAGGTATCCCTACTCTTTCCCATAATGTTTCGATGGCGCTCGGGACATTGGTGTGAATTGTTCCCTTCGTTGAAAGCGCGCCATGCTGTCGAAACCAATCCTTCACAGTGAAGGTGCGATGCTTTTGGTCGCTCTATAGCTAGAAGGCGAACTCAGTCACGTACAGTTTCATACGAGCGGATACGAAACTCCTTCTAGAATCTATCTGATACGTCGGCATTCACCACTTCTCTAATCCTGTGCAGTTGTAAAACTTCTTTTACGGACTACCACACGCGAGCCTCCGCCAAGTTTTACATACGGCAGTTAATTCCTTGGATCGAAACGTTTTTCCTCAGGACCGCACACATTCCTATTTCAGTCGCCGGCAAACATCTTGAATTTACTCTCGTTGGTCCGCAGGACGTTGTAGCTCTATGGGGATCCCCACTTTAGGTGTGGGTAAGCACACTTCGCCCCCGACCAGTTCACCGCCGACTAAGTTCGCAGTATTCGCAATCATGTGAAGGCAGCCTGTATGTTGGTTCTAGAAGGAGCTCTTATCCACGTGTATGACAGCTGCCCGCGACTGAGCTCGCCTTCTAGCATTAGTGCGACCAAAAGCATCACACCTTCACTGTGAAGGAGTGGCTTCGCCAGCATGGCGCGCTTTCAACGAAAGGAACAATTCACACCAATGTCCCGAGCGCCATCGAAACATTATGGGAAAGAGTAGGGATACCTTTGGTGGAAATAAGAGCCGGGAATATGGGCGAGAAACTCGTCAAATTTCAAGAGAAGTGGAGGAAGCTGCCCTAGTAGACAGTGCATTCAATGACTGATTCCTTACTTAGGCCTTGTTAGTATTTCAGCGAACCCAGAAGATCATTAACAAAGTATTGGACCTGCCCAGTGTTATTCATCATGCGTAAGATTGTTTTTGTTGAATTGTAAGCTTGCTAGAGTAATTTGAAACCTACTTGGAATTTGCTCATACGCGAGAATTTCTAGTGAAATGATTTTTTCCATTCTTAATTCTTTCTCAATCCGAAACAAATATGCCGTTTAAGTGAAGTAGGACTATCTCTAAAACATATTAAAATTTGAATTGATTTGATTCAGCGGAAAAAAAGTTACAGTCGAAAAACAATTTCGGCGAAGACTTTTGACCGCTACTGTATATCTGATTTTCTTCGTAATCATTTCGCCATTCCTGAACGGAAAAAAGGTAAAGGTGGATGGAGGATAAGTTTGGGGGCATCCGGCGATCTTTTCAAGTTCGAAGTATTCGGTGATTTCTTATGTTGAACCGATCTTTTGGTGATGGGGGATCGACAAATTGCTCTAGCGTTGGCATGAAATGCTAAGCGGGTACAGTTTGTTCCTGATACCCAAGCCGGCTCACGTGTTTGCAATAAGATTCTAGGTGGCCAACATTCTTGGTAAAATAAAACTTCGGTCAGAATCCGACACAGTCGTCTTTGTTTTGAATAGAGCATAAATTTACAGTGGGCCGAGAAATAAATGAGTTTGCTACAGAAATGGATTTAGATTTGTGTTAGGTTAATGTATCTATTCTGAGAGATTCACAGGGATTAAAACACTACGATTGAACTTGTGATCTTATCACACAGGCATCTACGCCAATTTTAGTTGAAGTTTTTCGGTTGTTTTTCAAAGAGGATGAACCATGCACTAAACTTGACCTATTCATTTGTGAGCCATTCCTTGCTATTTCTCTACGTTTGGATATTCATATCAATGTTTTATCCTGGATATGTTATATCTGTTGTTTAGGTGTCTTCGGAGGATGTTCTCGCAATGTTTCCTGAAAGAAAGGACAATTCTGAATTGATTCGAAAAAGTGATCTCGACAGAGCGATCACATTTCTTGACTTGGATGATAGTTCTGACACGAGCTTATCGGACTATGAAGTTCAATCAAGCGGCCGTGATGAAGTTGAGAGTAGAGAGAAGTGCGTAGGAGGAACTGAAAACTCCAGTGCTGAAAAGGAACGGAAGCGACCAAGTACAGCTGAGGAACAGGAAAGGTGTCCTAGCAAAGGGACCACAGAAAGGACGGATGGTTCAATGGAAGGAACGAGCGATCAAGTAACGGAAACTTCAAACAAACTTGTCCGTACTGCTACGTTAAATGGCATGCGATCGCCTGCTTCTGATGAGCCAGTTAGGAAACGACGCAGAAAAGATAAAGCAAACTCAGGAGATGACGATGGTTTGAATGAAATAGTTCGAAAGGTTCCGAAAGCTGATCATTCAGCAGATAAACCCGAACAGGTGGAAGGGCCAGATGTCAAGAATGACCGAGTTCCACGGACCAGCCATTCCGAAAAGGGTGGAAACATTGGCTTACTCAAGGCTTTTTCTCCTATAAAGAAAAGGGTGAGCTTCTATGAACAATGATAGATAGATAGATATTCCGAGGTGTCTGCAAGAAGTGTTTATTTTCCTAAGTTTTTTTTAAACAGGTATATAGATCTCTCAATTGATAAATGTATTTTTCATGCTTCTTTAGTGGTTATTAAGTGATTGCAGGCTTAATTTGTGTTTCTTGATTCCCGATGTGATTGTTGAAGTAAACAGTTTTGGTGCGCAGTTCCCTTACTGTAATAATTAGGAACTCGGATGTCGTTATGGCACATTCTACGAGGAAACCAAGTGGATCGATCTCCTCCTTCTGCACAATGAAGCTGCCCAAATAGATGGAAAATATATCTACGTGGCTCAGGGGTGCATACTGTCCAAAAGTATACCTGGAAATAGGTCGACATTGTCTAGCTCGTGACGTAATGGTCCATGTGGTGCGTCTCTGCGTCTCGCCCTTATGCTATCTCGTTTGTTCATCTTCTTGGGGGAGCGTAAAAACACCACTATTCCGTAAATGCCCATGCATTCACCAGAAATGTGACGTGTGCTGTTTCAAAAGATATCGTAAAAGCGGTACATGTGTGACTACTTAGACTTTCTGTTCTCTGCCGTGAATGTCAAAGGGTCTACGAACTACTAATCAGTCCTTCACCACCTCAGTGTGATGAACTCACCTGCGCTCTCTCTTCCAATGGCTCACGACTGCTGTGATCTCCACGTTCAAGGTTTTACCACACTGATTCGTTCATCCATCCTCGAAGCCCTCTGAACGGCCCTCTGAATACCAGAAAAAGGTCCCTAGTTCGATTCCTCGTGGTGACAAATTTTTGCATTTCGAGTTGACGTTTCAAAATTCGCGCAAAATGAATTATAACCAACTTTTCTGGATTCCAAAATTTCAATTCAATTTTGAAGCTTTAAATAAATTGACGTATACTCTCTTCCGATAAGCTCCCCTTCCCTCGTATTGTAATGCAGAATCTAAGATCACTTTACAGCAAAAAAATGGGCAAAAGGATAGTTTCACAAGAACCGTAATTTACGAAAACTTTCGCTCTGAGCAGGAATTCGAACCCATACCATATTAGCTGGCAGTGCGTGACATGTTTCTTGTGCAAGGCACGGAACGATGCCAATAGCGTTAAATGTAGCGTCATGCCCGCTAAGCGAGAGGTGCGGGTTCAAGCCCACCTGAAGCGAATGTTCATAACCCAGATCTTTGTGAAATTTCACGAGACGAGCTCCGTCACTGTGGACTACATTTACTTGCGTGTAGTAAATTATCAGACTGTACCACCATGTCAAATGCGTGGCGCACTCCATAACAGGAATAGATGACACAAGATGACTTGATGAAACTAGGAAAGATGAACTCTTCCTTGCCTCCATGAAAGACCTTATAGACCAACTTACCCCCCCCCCCCCCCCCCCCCCCCCCCCCCCCCCCCCCCCCCCCCCCCCCCCCCCCCCCCCCCCCCCCCCCCCCCCCCCCCCCCCCCCCCCCCCCCCCCCCCCCCCCCCCCCCCCCCCCCCCCCCCCCCCCCCCCCCCCCCCCCCCCCCCCCCCCCCCCCCCCCCCACCTACTCGCACTTCGTATAATTGCGCGTCGATGTGTTTGCGCAGCAATAGAATAGCGCGTGGTTCAAAGCTAACTTTTTCATATCGCCGCAGGCTTTGAGAGTCGTATCGTCCTCATTCATCGTCGCTTGTCATTAAACATTTTTGCCAGAGTTTTACCGAATGCAATATTAACTTCGTGCTTACAATAAGCTCAATACGAAGTAACTACAAGAGTTGTGTAGTGGGCCACACTTATCAACACACGACAGAGTGCAGACGATCGTGATGAACAGTGACCTCTGCATCAAATCCTAAGTAAGACAGGTAGATGCTGCTTGACGCTGGCTAATGAAATCGCTCAGAAGGTGTGCCAACCTTTTCAAGAAGGTTCCTTGCAATACATGGACCACAGAACCAATGTTCGTTTTCCTGAACGCCCTTCTAATCCAAAAAAGTGGTAAATTAATTTTGCAATGTGCTTGATGACGACGCGTATGTGACGCACTTGAGAGATAATGTTTGCTCTTTCTTCCCGCAGACCGATAAGTTTGCATAAACGCAAAATTATATGCTTTTCGTATATACCCAGCTACCACTCAGCATGGAATTCGAGTACATGGCGCATTCCAGAGTGATTTTTTGGAACTTCAAAGAAGCATGTGAGGATTTCGATGAGCTGAAAACGCTGTCTTTACCCCACTCTAGCTCAGGTTGCGAAAAAGAGCGACGAAATCGCTTTAGCCCCGGAATTTTCGAGTATTTACGGCGAGTACCGTACAGAACCGCTGCTAGCGTGCAAAGATGACTTCGTCAGAGATTCTTCTACGGTGACTCATCCGGGTCACACTCGAATCACCGTTTTGCTGAATAGCCGTGAAGATTCCTTGACGAATGTCTTGATATATTTGACATAACAACGCCACCGTTTCAATTTTGAAATGATGTAAACAAGAGTGCGTCTCTGCAACGTTACGCATCAAAAATTTCACTTTTTGCACAATCCATTTATTGGCAAGGAAATGTTAAGATATACCATAGCTTTAACAATTTTGTGAAGATTTTTGGCTTCAGAGGTAAGTTTTTCAGCAAAATTTTGCGGAAAAACGGACCAATATTAAAGCAACTAACCAGAAATATCGCCCAGTTCTTGATTAAAGGAGGATTTTACGATTAGAATGGAG